CTTGCCCGCCCTCAGCCCTCGTCCCGCTCACCCCACCCTCCGCAGCGTCACGGGGCCCCACCCAACACCGCTTCCCTGGAGGAAGCGACCGGGTCTCCATGAGATGGGGCATGGGCCTGGGCCCCCAGCAGGGAAAGTCAGGAGGTCAGCCTGCTGTAGCCCGGCAATGGACAGACGACCTTTACCCCGCTTCTCTGAGCAGGCCCCTTGAAGAGTGTGTGAAGGGGTCACCGAGGACTCCAGCGTCTTCCCTGTCCCACAGGGAGAGGGAATTGGGCTTTCTGGGCCTGTTCCCCCGGAGGCCAGAGACAGACCCCCCACTCACCCCCCCAGAGAAGGTCCAGTGAGGAGAGAAAATGACCTCCACCTACAAGGGCATTTGTTCAGGCGGGCTGAGCCCCCGCGGGGCATCACGGCGCCTTTTAGTGGCTGGGAGGTGTCATCCACAGGTGCCTGCTGACCCCCTCCTGTGTCTCCCAACTTGTGGCTGAATGCATTTAGTCTGGGGCAGAGGGGTGGGGAGAAGCATCAACAGGTGGGGAGTTGGGCCAAGCTGGTGCCTAGCTGCCCCTTGCCTCTGCTGGGTCCCTTCCACAGGCCCTCCAGCCCAGGTGAGGCAGGGTCCCTCCTTCATGTCCCTGCCTGCCAGCTTGGCAGGGGCCTGGATGCCTTCTCTGCTCCTGTCCAGGGCAACGGTAAGAAACGTCTGCATTTATGGAACATTTCCAGCGGCAAGCTCCTTACAACGACCTGTGTAGGTGCCATTGCTTCCATTCTGCAGATGGGTAAACTCGCAGGCAGGACCGGTTCCCCACCCATAATCACAGGGTCGGAAAGTGCAGAGCTGGGATGTGACCCTAGGCCTCTGCTGCTCGAATCGTGGATGGTGGTGTCTGCCATGCAGAGTGCAGCCTGGGAGAAGAAGGTTTGGGGTGCTGTGAGACTTGCCTTCCCAGTTATAGGGCTGCAGCTGTGGGGGGTCACAGGGTGGGTGGGCTTAAGCTAGGGAGGGGTGTGTTTGCAGGGAAGAGCTGATGGCGTGGGGGGTGGTTGTCAGAACTGGGGAGGCCTGTCTCCAGAGGAAAGAGTCCCTCTCCTCCTGGGAGACCTGAGGGTCATAGAAAGTGCATGGGCAGGAAGAGGGGCTCGCGAGTTGGTGGGGGGGGGGCACTACAAGCTGCCCCATGGCACAGGTGCTCTGAACCAGGGGAAGGGGTATGTGTCCAGCCCCCTGGGGACCCATCAGCTCTGGTCGGCAACTCCTCCCTGGTCCTAGGTGGGCCTTGGCAGGGCAGGTGGGGAAGGTAGGCGGTGGGCTGGTGTGGCCGGGGTGCTGCCACCACACCAGCCGGTCTTCCATCACGTCCATTGCACTGAGCACCAAATCCTGTCCCCCGCCCTCCATTACCCTTTTCACTTGATTTCGCAAACATGCTACACTTCCTTCTACCTGAAAAATAACACTGCTTTTGGTCCCACTCCCCCAGCTGTCCCAACACTGCTTCCTGGAACAGCAAAGCTCCAGCTGCCGACCTGTGCCTCCCGGGCCCACTGAAGCTAGTATCATAGGCTCCCACGCCGACCCCACCAGTCCTGCTCTCGTCAAGCTGCCAAGCCCAGGGTCACTTGGGTGCCCGTCTGTCTTAGCCATCTAGTGCTGCTACAACAGAAATAACACAAGTGGATGGCTTTAACACACAGAAGTTGATTTCCTTACAGTCCAGAAGGCTAGAAGTCCAAATTCAGGGCACCAGCTCCAGGGGAAGGCTTTCTCTCTCTGTTGACCCTGAGGGAAGCTCCTTGTCATCAATCTTCCCCTGGACTAGGAGCTTCTCCACACAGGGACCCCAAGTCCAAAGGATGTGCTATTCTCCTAGTTGTTTCTTCATGGTATTAGGTCCCCCACTCTCTGCTCACTTCCCTTTCATCTCTTGTAAGATAAAAGGTGGTACAGGCCACACCCCAGGGAAACCCCCTTTACATTGGATCAGGGCTGTGACCTGAGTAAGGGTGTTGCATCCCACCCTGATCCTCTTTAACATAATTTAATCTTGCCTCATTAACCACAAAGTTTAGGGTTTACAACACATTGGAAAGTTACATCTGTCACCAGATGGAGGACAACCACACAATACTGGGAATCATGGCCTAACCAAGTTGCCACATATTCTTGGGATACAATTCAATTCATGACAACCTCCCTCCCGGGGGCCTGGGCAGGTCCCCTCAGCGCCAGGCCCGAAGGAGGTGGGCCCTTGCCCAGGGGGTGGCCAAGACACTTGGGGGTGGAATTGGCCAGGGCTTTATGACTGCAGAACAGGGGGCACAGGTTGTTGCTGGGAGCTGAGACCGGGAAGCAGGTGGGGCTGAACAGATCCTGGCAGGCCCGTAACAAGGTCTGGGTCACCCCCAAGCCTGTTCCAGCCCACAGATGTTGCTCTGGTCCAAACCCCTGGAATCCCCTTTGGCTCTTTTCTCACCCCTGAATTCTCGTGGCTCCACCTCCGGAAATACCCAGCGCTGGGCCATCTCTGACGGGCACCGCTCCACCCCCAGGGCGGCCACCCTCTCAGCTCTCCCCTAACCTCCTGGCTCACGCCCTCGTCTGCCTCAGCGAAGCAGCCAGGGGCTTTCAAAAGTCAGGTCCCACCATTCCTCCTTGCCAAGTCCCCCGAGAGCTTCCTGTCAGGCTGGATGTAAGCCAAGCCCCTGCTGGAACTGAAAGGCCTCTCCTGTCACCTGCCCCAACCACTCCAGCCCCTTCTGCATCAGCCACTCAGCCTCCTCGCCATTCCTGGAGTGTGCCATGCCCACTCACGCCTCGGGCCTCCCCCTCCTCACGGGGAAACAGCAGTCTGAAGGCAGGCAACAGCTGAGCCCAGAGGGACGAGGGCAGGCCCTGCACCCTGCAAAAAACACACAAAGCCCGGTCCTCACTTGCTTCCACAGGATTTTATTTTGGTCTCCACCTCAGAGGCACCAGCCCACCATGGACAGCACTGTGGGTGCGTTCTCGGAAACACCTTGCTGAGCTCCCTCTGCAGGCAACTGAACAGAGTGGAGAGCTCTCCCAGGCCGCCTCCTAGAAGCGCACACAGCAGAGGTGCTGGGGTCAGGGCACTGCGACGTCAGTGGCTACGAGGTGAGGAGGTCGTGGGCTGGCCTGCCGGGGTGGCATGGGGGAACCCAGCCAGGCCCATCTCCTGGTTGCCCCTTCCCTTCCTGGGCAGGAGGCCACATCGTGTCTGGCCCAGGGGCAGTCTGACCACTTCTGCCTCGCTCACCTGCAGCTCCCACCCCTGTGGGGCCTCAGCTGAGAAGGCCATGGGGGTGTCTGCTGTGGGCACCTCCACTCCTCCTCCCAACCAGAGACGGGAGGCCCCAGGGGCAATGTCCTGGGGCCACCCAACTGAGACACCACAGGCTCTGGCTCTGACGCACTTTAATGAGCAGCCACCCCGCTGCGGTGGCCAGCTGGCTCCCATGCCCGCCCCCTAGTCACAGGAGCCGTCCTTCCAGCCGTCGCGCCAGCGTTCATCCACCTGCGAGCAGTCGAAGTCCGGCTTGCCCAGCTTGCGGTTCACCTCATTGTGCAGGCGGCACAGCCACTGGGTGAAGCCTGTCCGAGTGCGCGTGTCCGGCTGGTTCCGTTGTATCCTGGGGGCAGAGCACATGGAGGATGGGGGGCAGCTGGCCCCTACCCTGCCCCCAGCCAGCTCCTAGTCTGCTCTTGACGGAGGGAGGCTGCTGGGAGCTACACCCAGGTGTCCCCTAAGAAAGGGACAGCAAGTTCCTGGGATGGGGCTACCCCTGCAGAGCCCTGTGCCTGGGTGATCTCCCACACTGCTCAGAAACCACGGTCCAACAGTGTATGATCCCACTTACATGAACCACCTAGAACGGGCACATTCACTGAGACAGAAAGCAGACTAAAGGTTACAGGGGAGGGGGCTGGGGAGTTACTGCTGACAGGGTACAGACTTTCTGCTTGGCGGATGAAAACGTCTGCGAAGTGGATACTGGTGATTGTTGTACAACATGGTGGGTGATACACTTAAAACTGTTACAGTGGCAAATTCCACGTTATACATATTTTACCACGATAAAATTAGAAAAAACACCACCACCAAAATGCCACCCAGGGCACTTGGCAAACCTGACAAGCGCCCCAGGCAAAACGTTAAAGCTCACGGCTGGCAACCTGACAATCTCCTAACAGTCAGGAAGCCTCACCCCAGCCTCCCTGGCCTCAGGCAGAGTGTGGGAGAGGCTGGCCAGGCACTGCAGGCATAACTGAAAACCAGGGGGTTCTTGGCAGCTGAAGCCCTGGTGCTTCCACTCAGCAGAAGACTTTCCTGCCCAAGCTTCAGACAGCAAGGGGTGCCCCACCCCATACAAGGGAGCTCTGGGGAGGCCCTGCCTGAGGTACGGGGGAGGACACCAGGGCCACACACCAGCTCTTGGGAGCAAAAGCAGTGGATTCCCAAGGTCTGGAAGCCAGCAGCCCTGCTCGAGGAGTCAGGTAGAGTGGAGTCTCCACTGGGGAAAAGTGAGAGACTGCGTCAGGGAGGCCCTCCTGGGAAGCTTGTGGCGCAACAAGAAGCATAGTCCAGCAGACCCAGGCAGCTTGGCCTTTGAGGGGAAAAGAGATGGCCCAAGAACCTAATCCCCACTCCGCTGGGCTCCCTGCACCTCGGCCACCCTCTGCCGCCCCCCCCATCTATTCCTAGGTTTCCCTCTATGACATCAGCTTGAACTCCGCCCCTCGTCACGATCCTCTGTCCTCTGTGCACACACAACTCACCTCTTCCTTATGTCTTCAGCACATTCCTCGCACGGGTAAAACTTGGAAAATAAATGTATGAACTGGGTCATGTCTTGCTGCTGTGCCGGGGTGGGCCGGTCGGGGTAGTAGGCAGCCAGGGTGTGGAGGACAGCCCAGCTGTGGCGGCCCAGTTCCTCCCGATCCTCAGGACAATCCTCTCTAAACTTGCTCTCCTGCTGCTGCGGAAGGAAACCGACCGAGGGTCAGTTCAGTCTCCTCAATCAGGAGCCCGCAAAGTTCACCTTTTCCCGCCCCACCCAAGGCCCACTGTCTCGGGTCAGAAGTCCAGCAGCCGATCCGGCTCACGTGTGGCTGAGAGAGACAAGGCAAGGCCTACCTTGGGCGGAGGGGGGGGAGGGTCAAAGTTAGGGATAGCGTATAGCCAAGCCCAGGGCAGAAATCAGGAATGAGGCCTGTCGGACCGGTCGGCCTGGGCCTTTGGGGGTCTGCCTGGGGCACCTGAGAACAAGGTGAGGGGGCTCAGGAGGGCAGCAGGGGACAGAGGGGCGTGTGTGGGCGGGGGCTAGGGGATCGGGCGGGGCTCGAGGGCCTCGCCGGGGAGATGGCGCCCCGGGCATGTGTACCTTTCGTTGCGTCCGCAACCACGTCTTGAAGTCCACGCAGGCCCGGCAGGGCCGCTTCTGGGAGGCGTTCTCAGAGACCTGCGGCTCGGGGATCGGCGCCGGAGCTGGTGTCGGGGCGGAAGCGGCGGCATCTCTGCGTCCCGCGCCCCGGCCCCGCGCGTCGGTCGCCAGATCGTCCAGCACCTCGGTGCGCGCGCCGCCAGGCAGGAAGGAGAAGAGACCCCCGCCGGTGGAG